GGTTCAAATGGCAGTCAAGTCAAGGAAGACTCTCGCATTTAATTGCGGCGAAACAAGCTCTCACCAGAGAAATGAATTCGAAAAGATTCTCTTAAATTCTAAATTTTTTAGTATAATGTTTTTCGAATCTTCAAGCATACATTAATGATTGATAATGTTTGATTTTCAGGTTCAACCTTTGAAGCAAATCAAACTAAAGCCTTCGCAAAAAAATAGTGAAGGAGAAAAGATTATTCGAGTTCCATACTCCTTAAAGAAAGAAGGAGCGAACCCGTAAGAAGAATATTTTCGAGTTCCATACTCCCTAGAGAAAGAGGGAGCGAACCCGTAAGAAGAAGATTTTCGAGTTCTATACTTCCTGAAGAAAGAGGGAGCGAACCCGTTTGAAGATGTTCGAGTTCCATACTCCCTAAAGAAAGAGGGAGCGAATCCGTTCGCAGAAGATTTTCGAGTTCCATGCTCCCTAAAGAAAGAGGGGGCGAACCCGTTTGAAGATGTTCGAGTTTCATACTCCTTAAAGAAAGAAGGAGCGAATCCGTAAGAAGAAGATGTCCGAGTTCCATACTCCTTAAAGAAAGAAGGAGTGAACCCGTAAGAAGAAGATGTTCGAGTTCCATACTCCTTAAAGATAGAAGGAGCGAACCCGTAAGAAGAAGATGTCCGAGTTCCATACTCCTTAAAGAAATAAGGAGCGAACCCGTAAGAAGAATATTTTCGAGTTCCATACTCCCTAGAGAAAGAGGGAGCGAACCCGTAAGAAGAAGATTTTCGAGTTCTATACTTCCTGAAAAAAGAGGGTGCGAACCCGTTTGAAGATGTTCGAGTTCCATACTCCCTAAAGAAAGAGGGAGCGAACCCGTTCGCAGAAGATTTTCGAGTTCCATACTCCCTAAAGAAAGAGGGGGCGAACCCGTTTGAAGATGTTCGAGTTCCATACTCCTTAAAGAAAGAAGGAGCGAACCCGTAAGAAGAAGATGTTCGAGTTCTATACTTCCTGAAGAAAGAGGAAGCGAACCCGTTTAAAGATGTTCGAGTTCCATACTCCCTAAAGAAAGAGGGAGCGAACCCGTTCGCAGAATATTTTCGAGTGCCATACTCCCTAAAGAAAGAGGGAGCGAACCCGTTTGAAGATGTTAGAGTTCCATACTCCCTGAAGAAAGAGGGAGCGAACCCGTAAGAAGAAGATTGTTCGTGTCTCATACTCTCTGAACAAATAGAGAGCAGACAAGATTATTGAAGATTATTCGTGTCTCATACTCTTTGAAGAAATAGAGAGCAGACACGATTCTTAGAGATTATTCGAGTTCCATATTCCCTGAAAGCAATAGGGAGCGAACCTGATTTTTAGAAGATTCTTTTCAAGTCTCACTTACCCTGAAATAGCAGTGAAGCAGATTAACCTTTTGAATTTTTCACGATTGGACAAATTTGGCCATCTATTGATCTTTGCTCTATTCTCGTTCCACGACAATGAACAAAGAGGGACAGCTGTAGATGCTCGCTTTGTCCGGGGTGTCATTCGATTTTAATCGGGTTTTATTATTATTGTTTTTATTACAGTTTCGGTTATTAGCATAAGTTTGGTATTTTTACAGGTATTAATATATATAAATATATGTAAACAAAGATTATTAACATATACTAAATCTTATTATTGTCGTTGTTACAGGGCGTACACTGGTATTACAACCAAACATGCCCAAAATAAAAATCAGATTACAACAAGCCCAACGCCAGGCCCTGCACCAATCCTGCAGCCCACTTGGAGAAACCCTAGGCCCGTTAGGGTTTCCAGCTTCTGTCTAGGTACCCAGCCGCCGCATGCCCTGGATCGTTCGATCTGCTTGTCATCAACGGTCCAGATCACATGAGCACTAGGGTTTTCGCCCTATTTCCAGCGCCGCCGAAGCCAACACCGTTGGATCTGATGAGATCCAACGGCTCACATTGCGTTCAGAGACCCAAGACAGTGTATTGTTCCACTAAGCACCCATCATGCACTCATCGCGATAGTGCACAAACTCACCGAGGAATACACACGCTTGTCGGTCGTCCACCAAGACTGAGGTTACCACTATCGTCGCCATACTCCTCGTGCTCATATCGATGCCCTGTGGACACACGAAAAGAGAGGACAGAACACGATCGAGATATAACGATAGTAAACAGAAACAAAAAAAGAGAATCGGAGAGCAACAAAGAATCCATCGATTAGGGGAGAAAACATCATCTGTCTTCAACCCATCAAAAGGAGCGGATAGAGAAAAAACGCGAAAAGATAACCAGAGCAAATGGGATCCATCAACAGTAACGAAAAATAAATATCCAAGCCATAAACATCCATCAACGACGGAGAAGAAACGAAAACAAAACTCTCACATTTCTCATCGTTTGGAGTCGAAACCACCACCAGTCACCCGAGGTAACCACTTTCAGTCTTAGATATGTGATTGGTGTTAGGGATCTAGGAGGTCTCGATGGGGTTTGTATTTCTTTGGTGAGATGTTGGGTTAGGGTTTATCTGGGTTAACAGTGAGTTCGTGGTCGTGGTGTCTAGGTCGCTGGTTTTATTTGTTCAAGAGTGAGGATTTAAGGCTGGTAGGTTCGTCGTCGGGTCTTTTAAGGTTTCATCGGGGTCTTCGTTGAGGTGGGCGGAGACCATGGTGGCTTTGGAGGCTAGGTTTTTTTAAGGGTTGTAGAGGGAAGCTTGAGAGGGATGAGAGTAAAGCGGTGAGGCATTTTAGAAGTGAGGTTGAGAATGATTTTAGGGTAATCGTTTCACCCTAATATTGTATATATCTGGTTAGTGAAACGGCGACGTTTAGAGGTTGTACGAAACGGCAGCGTCTTGAGGTTGGGTGAGGTGAACCGGGTTTTAGAAAACGAGTTAATAGCTGGGAAGGTCCTTCTGGTTTCATTGTGTCTCGTTGCAACCCATAACCCGAACTTCATTTTGTTTACAATTTTTCCTTGAAATTTTCTGCGTGTTACATCTTAGTCCAGAACCGTGTTAGGGCCATTTTGATGTTGTTTATGCATTGGATGTGTAATTTGAGAAACTTTCATTTTGGTCCTTTGTAGTATTTTGGTTGTATTATGTTTGCGGTACCCAGAAATGAAATGTTTATGAAAATAGCCTACTGTTTATTGTTTTTATATTTTAGTCCCTTTAATATTTCATGTATGTTAGTTAGGTTAATTTAGAATTATTTTTAAGTGTATGCATGTGCATATTTTTTCGAGCATGTTGTTAGTACATATTTGTTTAGTTGTATTTTTTTAAGCGTGTTAATCTCATTTGCATGACCCGACGTCGTTACATAATCAGATTAAGGGTAACATTCTTTTAATTTAAAATTGTCGGAATGGCTTCTCCTAACTTACTAGAGAGTTGATTTGGCAATTTTAAATTAAAATTGTATCCCGTCAGTAACGCCTAATTAAATTTGGATTAATCACTTTAAAATTTGGGAATAAAAGAAAAAGAAATATTCGGCTATTTAAATTATTTGAGAAAAGATCGTTAGAACTCACCTAAAGATATGGTTTCGATATTTTTAAATAATCGAATATTCTTTATCTTTCTAATGGTTTGGAAATTTCAATTAAATTTATTTTGTTGCTTTGAATGTTATAAATTCGCATTTTTGTTGTTTTAAGGGATCATAAATCAAATTAAATTTGAACTTGTGAAATTCGTTGCAAAGACATTAATAAATCGACTAGGTACCGATTTAGGGCGTTGTGGGGGTGCTAATCCTTCCCCACGCGTAACCGACTCCCGAACTTGGATTTTGGTAACGTAGACCGTAAATTTGTCGTTTTAATTAAAATTAATTTTTATTTAAAATGACAACGTTTTTTGGGTGCCCAATCACATCCTAATCAAAGATTGGTGGCGACTCCTCGAACCACATGTTTTTATCTTTAAGGAATTTCCAAATTTTTGAAACGATGGGTTTTCTAAATTCGCAATATTTTTAATTAAACTTTAATAGTAAGAGAATAATTAAAAATGACGTGGTTTTCAAAATCTCGCATCCCCACTCCCGTTTAAAAATCGTTTCGACAGAAGATATTTGAGGGTGATTGAGATTTGATGATAGCATATTGTTTTTATAAATATCATGTTATTGTTTAGTATTTTGCACACCAATTATTTGTTTTTCTGTGATTTATCTCTTCTGATTTTACTTTGGAAAAGAGTAATATCAAGCGAGTTTCACTTCTTATTTCAGGTGTATGAAATCTGAAAGATTGTGTTAACCTTGTGGATAGTGTCCACTTTCAGAATCACACCAATCTAAGTGAAATTGTTTTTAAGACAATGACTACACGACATAATAATTATATCATTATTGTTTTATTTACTCATTCATTTACTCTTTATTGTATGTTTTAATCAATGTTAAGTCTTCATTTCGCAATAATATTTTTATTAACAACTATTGTCCCTCTCATAAGCATCGACTTCAATTCAAAACATCTTACAACTGATTTTTGTTATTAATAGGGGAAGTGAATCCCTGACCACTGGACCACTGCTAGAGGTTCTCCTACCACTGTTTTTGATTTTTAATGCCACACTAAGATGATTTTGTTAGAATATTCGAATAAATTCTAGTTGTATCCTTTATCTTCAAGCCAAACTAAGAATTCACCGTCTATTTGGTGTATGTTCAGGTTTTAAAACTCCCATGCACAATTCGGGACCTCGTAAACAGATAACAACGTTCTTCTACTCTTAATTTATATGCTATAAGACCAGAAACGGATATAAGATTTTATGTTAACGAGTAATGGTATGCAATATAAATTGCTCACCCGACCTAGTAAAACAAAGAAAGAAAAAGAAACATACTAAAGTAGCTTACCATACCCCAAATCCTGTGACATTCAAACCATCATATCCTAGTCTTTTATTTTGATTTTTATCTCACAATCAGTAAATTTTGCAACTCGAGGAGGCACCATACACTCACATAATATAAACACCAAAATGAAGTAATCAAAGGTTAAAAAAATAAGAAAAATAAAAAGATCAAACAAATCGGTTAAATGGCTTTCTTCCAACAGTTGCAGGCATTGAAACGGTTGAATCCACACTCAAATTGCCTATAGATTGAAGTGATCGGTTCTTATCTAAACCCCTTTGAGAACTTAAATGATCCTTGCTCGAAAACGAAGACCCTCGGCTCCACTTGAATGATCCTATCCCTTGTGTCAAAGAGAACGAAAGCCTACTCTTCGATGTCTCGCTTCCCGGCGTCCCCATGAACACATCCTTCGAGTTGCTGTTGCATCTTGCTTTGGCCTTGGCTGAAACTGTTGGTGTCATGTAATTTGGAACTGAAAATGGAGGGCAGCTAGTAATGCTGTCATCATCCTTCATGGGCAAGTCAAATTGTGAATCCGCTTCACTAGCTCCCGGTCTCGAATATTTCAACAACGCTGAACTGCTTCCTTGTAGGATTCTACTAGGTGGAGTTTGCATAGGTCGTGTAGTCGGAAGCATGGTCAACTTCGTAGATTTTGGCGTCGGAGTGTCCATATTGTCAAACATAAACTGATGTTGCTTGCTGCTCAATGGCGGTTTTGGACTAGGCTTCAATTCGGAATTTGGCCTTGGTGGTGTAAGTTTGAAATCCTTCATGCCTTGTCCTTCAGGAGCATTGCTAGAAGATAGCTGACGCTCTAACCAGTTCCACCACCACGGTCCGCGAGTGCGAATGTCTGATCCTCCTGTGTAATCTGATTTCATAGTAGTTTTCCATAACTGTATGAAGAAAGGTTTTAAATCAATTGTAGTTAGGCTTATACAAGTCAAACTAAATGGAATTGTGGTAGTAAAAATACCTGGTGGGAATGTGCATAGGCCATGGCTCTTTCTCTCTTGATGACTGCCTCTACCTTTCTCTGCATTCTTGCCTCGATTTCTTCTTTCGTTAGCAGACTATCGTCCCAATCTTCATTGCCTGCCTCGGACTGATCCGATGTTCGACTAAGTTACTCATTTTCAAAAAGAATATAAAGAGTACATATGATGAAACAAGCATGGATATATAATCTCCAAGTTCCACCAAGTCTCCTAAGGTCTTATGAAACCAGAAAGAAGACCATATGCAGTCAGAAACAAAGCCAATGAAAACATACCGCCTGACTAAAGCTCAATTTACCCAAGGCACTCTCTACTTCTTTATCGTTCTTAAACCGAGCCTGTTGTCGTGCATGGTTTTCTAACATCTCGATCCGGCGAGACTGAATCTGAGACTGAACTCGCACCAAAAGCTGCATATGCTTCATTGCCGTTGTAGTTTGGCGTTTCACAGTCTGACCTCTCACGACTCCTTGAAGCCTCACAAGGCCTTTCCAAGCTCGAAAACTTCTCCTTGCCTGTATTACAAGTTCTGGTAATCAAATGTCGATGCAAAACATAACAATGCAAAGGGCTCTACCGTGTATCTTCATCATACTACACGAAATTACCAACAACTCGGAGCAACGTGATTAACTATTTGCTCAAGGAAACTTCAGCCATTACAGAGTCCATTTGAAAGTTGTTCGTAACAAATGGTTTTTAATCTTTCCATAAAATATGAAATTTTAACAGATTAATGCTGCTGGTTTTGTTAATCAGTTCAATAGCCAAATAGTTTTTCATTGCTAGTCTTTTCGAACCAGTTGCCTCCATGAAATTTGCACTAAACAAGGAAAGTGAAAAAAGTTTACCATATAACCTCTATAGGCTGCTTGAATTTTTGTAGCTGAAGCATGGTGGTTCCTTAAAGTTGGTTCTGGTCGAGGACGAAAGGCCTTAGCTGGATCAGCCTCGAGAGAGGCAACTCGTGGAAGTGACGGCGGAGAAGGAGCTTGTGGAGGGGAAGCAGCCCTCGGGGAATCAATCCTAGGAGAGGCAATCCTCTGAGATGGACCATGTGGAGAAGAAGAAGCTTTATGAGCCACAAAAGGCGGTATCGGAGGCTGCTCCGGAGGTGTCGGAGGCCTGAATACTATCTTATGCTCTCTTTCAGCCTCCCCAAGAATTTTTTCAATACTGCTGGGCTCTCTGAAGAGGGGGATAAAGGAATTGGTTTCTCCACGCCTTAATTTTCCTAGGCCTTTCTTCTTCTTTTCTTTACGGCTTCTTTTATCCGATTCCTGGAAGGATTTAACCATACAAAAAAAAAAAAAAAACAGAAGCCATCGTCTCTCAGTTACATTTACTTAGAAAAGCACATGCTTTACAAGCCAAAAAGGCAATCTAAACCGTGCTTAAGAGAGGTGCAGAAAACGAAACTCAAAGTGCTGCTTGGGATAATCAAAACCATAAACTTACATTAGTGAAGTCCCTATGCACCAGACTTAAAAATATGAACTTACATTACTTGGATTTTCCTTGGAGTGTGGTATGAAAACCCTTTTAATCGCAGAAAACCAACTTCCTTTCTTTCCCATACTGCCAGCATTACTTTGTTGGTCCAAGAAACAGAATAAACAAAAAAAAAAAAACCAGCAGCTCCAGTCGTGTAAGGTCTAAATTGCTGGTCTTATCTGTTGTCATAAAACAATGCATAAGATTTAATGTAATTACTATGGTGTACAGATAGTATTTACCATGAAAAACAATGCATTAAATCAAAACATATGTCGAGCAAAGAAGGTTTCTTGCAGATTCCAAGACTCGAGTTTTCGACCATGATATCTGAATAAACTGCCTGATAAGCCTTATGACATGGAAATTTTCAGGCTTTTCATGATGCAAGAGTTCTTAATAAAGAACAAACATTAAGACTTGGGAACTTTTGTAAACACAATTCTCCTACAAAAACCAAAAGAAAAAACACCACAAATATTCAAAATGCTAGAGATTTTTTTATTTTTTCTGAAACGCCTCTCTGCTGTTTAAAGATTAAAAGAACAATTCTCCGAGAAAAACATCTGACACTGGTACAAGAGAGATCCAAAGACAGGAAAATTCAAATACTAAAAAATTACTACCTTCAAGAAAAGCTCACCTTTTGAAAATTACAGTTATCTATTCCTTCCCCAAGAACATAATTAACACAAATCCAAAAGAAAAAGCTCACCTTGATCATGAACAACATAATTGACACACAAAAAACCCAAAACTTTATACAAACAAAAAGCCATACATGTATGTACCTTTAATGAAGAGCTCCAAAATTCCATATTCTGCAAAGAACCCTTCAAAAACCAGAGTTATAAGAAGCTAGGGAAAAAAAAACAAGAGTAGCAACCAGCCATTGAAGACCCTTCTTCTTTTTGTCTCCAGAATTCATCTTGTATCCTGTACAACATAGTTGAAGAGGGAGTTTCTATTTTGTTTCCTTCTACTTTCTACTGTAATGTTTCTGAACTTTGGAAACACAAATTCTTCAACTTTTTTTTTTTCATTTGTAAGCTTGGGTGGGTATGAAAGTGTCCAACTTTTTAATTTTCCTTGGCCACATTTCACCTTTTTGTTGGATTTGTAATTGGAAGAGAATATGTTTTAAAAAGAAAGAAATCATCAAAGGGTTGTTGCAGTTGATGAGGATGATGGCATTGATATCAGAGAGAGTATAAGAAAGGGAAGGATTGAGAGGAAAAGGTAGGGGTTGGCCACATTTTCACTCAATGTGCCAAACTTCAACTGCCTTTACTTGAAGGGGAAGACTATTTCTATTTGGACAGCAACCGTGGCCACTCACTCTTTTAAACGGTTAGGTTTGGTACGCTTTCATCTTCTCTCAACTATTAATTTATATATATTGAAATTTATTGCGAATGTGAGATTTTGCCTGAGCTTCAAGGCTATGGCAACCATGGATGGATAGCAAGGTTTGCCCGCGTTTCAAGGCCTTGGAAAATTGTCAAATGATGAATGGGTCTCTAGGGCCGTAAAAGAGACGAGATAGATTGTGATTTGCTCCGGTTTGACTCGGTCAAAATTCAGTCAATACTCAATTCGAGCTCGAAATCAATTCAAATTCTTAAAGAGCCGAAGCAAGCTATTTGATATTCAACTCGAAAAGGTCACGAACAATTCGAAAAAAATAATATATTAAAATTTTAATTTTTTAAATTAAATTATTTATAATATTAACATTTATATGTTAGTTTTTTTTTATAAAAATAAAGCTTAAAAATTTTAAGCTAGCGAGCTTACGAGTCAAGTTAAACTTGACAATTTTAAGCTTGTGAACTTTTGAGTTGAATCGAGCTTAATTTAAATTTTCGATCGTATCGAGCACAATAATATTTAGCTCGACTCAATTCGTTTACAGTCCTAAGTGGCGTCCTACAACCATTAGCTCGACTTCGAGCTTTGGACAATTATAGTATGATAATTTGGTATTATTCCGAAGTTATAATTCATACGAACTATAACTATCATTTTTATCAATTAAACACTCAAATATTTTCTTTTTTCCATTTAATTATGTCTTTAAATTTAAAAAATTAACTGATATGATTATTTAACACATAGAAATGATCGATCACCACTCTAATATTTATGCAACAATCCACAATATTGATGTGATGGTTCACGGTTATTAAAAATAAAATTAAAAATAAAGTATTGAAATCTTTTGAAGACTTTCATCCGAAAAAGCCAACCTGAGTATATTGTTATTATCTGAACATACTTTGGGTGGAATCGATCTTATTTTATCTATAGATGACTTTTGAATTCTCTTTCTACAGTATAAAAAATAATAAGACGTGGTTTCTACCAAAGTAAAAAGCATTGGTTCTATTTTTTATTTTAAATTTTGATTTCTCTTATATAATCAATACATGACACAAGTAGTTGTGTTTAAAAAATTAAAATCTAAAATTAAATATAAATATTATCTTATAATTATATTAGAATGAATTAAAAAATATATGTTTAACAAATTTTAATATAAATATAAAGGTAAATAGTTAGATTGTTATTGTGTGTAGTGTTTGCATAAATGTACAAGCATACACGTCGATAAATAATAAAGTAGCGAGTAAAATTGTTCCATAGGAACTGATAAGATTATATCTTAAGCATTTGCATTTAGAGCAAAAGAATAGAAATAGTGAGATAAAAAAAAGAGAGAGAAATTGGTGAGTTTGTTGCACAATCCCAATCTTCTTCTGAGAGCTTGAGTGTCTTCAAGGTGCTTCCTCTTCCGAAAATGGTGATTGGTTAAGAAAAGAGAAAATTGAAGACGATGGAAGACAAGACTGTTATTCTCTCTTTATTATCGTCTTTTATATAAATAAAGTGCAATTTTTAAATTAAAAAAAGTGCACATGAAATGCAATAATACTATTAATTGATATTAATTTCAAACAAATATTCAAATAAAAAGATATGAAATATATCATTTTTTACATAGTTAACATAAATATATAATAATCAGTTCAATTCATTTATTAATTGAGATCAAACCTTTATATAACTAAAGTGATATCATTTCAGATTAACTTGACTCAAAACCAGTAAATATTAAAGTAATAAAATTGCATTATAAGTATTCAGCACAACTCTAACCTAACGTATCAGAGCATGTTCAACCTTTGCCCTTCATTTGGCTATAAATAATAAAACTCCACCATTTACTTTTGTATTGTAATGAAATTGTAGAAACAGTTAGAGTTTGATTCGAATTTAAAGTAACACAAATTAATTAATATATAAATATTAGGAAAGTAGGAAACTCAGTTTGATTAAAAGTAAAAAACTTTATTAAAGTAGATTTCTACTTTATTTAATTTTCCTTTGTAATCAAGTATTTATCCCTATAAATAGATACTAAGGGTCAGAGTTATAAATTAAGTTTTTATTTCTTTCACCAAAATCCTCTTGTATTTTCTTCCTTCATATTAGTGAAATTCTTCTCTTCTGCCCGTGGTTTTTCTCTTTTGGGTTTTCCACATAAATCTTGGCGTTCATTGTTTTTCCTTTTCGATCGTGTTTATTTGTTTGAGGATAATCATCGTTCCGATATTATAAAATTGGTATTAGAGCTTCGAATTCAAGATCATGGCAACAATGAAGTATGATATTCCGCTGTTGGATCGAAACATCGTGTTCTCGATATGGCATGTGAAGATTTGGGATGTTCTTGCACAATTAGATCTCGACGATACAATATAAGGATTTGATGAGAAGCCGGTAACACAATGGACTGATCTTCCTATGTTTGTTGCCTTCTTCCTACTCACCTTTCAGAGACACAATAGTGTACTGTCGCGAAACTCTCATTCTTGAAGAGGTGTACAATGGCATGCACTCGTTCGAAAAGATGAAGCATATTCTATCTAGTTTCGAGCCCCAAGTAGAGGATCTTGTGGTGCATGGATCGACTAGCTCTGACCGTGGAAGAAAATGCGAGAGTTCTTCTGGTAGTAAAGGAAGGGGCAGATCAAAATCTTTCAACTAAGGTAAAACTTGTCACTACTGTAAAAAGAAAGGTCATGTTAAATCGGAGTGTTACAAGTTTCAAAATAAAATCAAAAGAGAAGTTGAAGAGCAGAACTCTGGGAAATCTGGTGAGGTCAAGCCGGTAACACAATGGACTAATCTTCCTATGTTTGCTACCTTCTTCATATTCACCTTTCAGAGACACAATAGTGTACAGTCGCGAAACTCTCATTCTTGAAGAGGTGTACAATGGCATGCACTCATTCGACAAGATGAAGCATATTCTATCTAGTTTCGAGCCCCAAGCAGAGGGTCTTGTGGTGCATGGATCAACTAGCTTTGACCGTGGAAGAAAAGGCGAGAGTTCTTCTGGTAGTAAAGGAAGTGACATATCAAAATCTTCCAACCAAGGTAAAACTTATCACTATCATAAAAAGAAAAGTCATGTTAAATCGAAGTGTTACAATGTAACACCCCCAGACTGATCCGGGTGACCCGGTCCGATCCGGGTGTCACATTAGGGCCACCAGAGAGACCCACCATAAAAATTTCAGAAAATTTAACGTTTTTATTAAAACATGTAAAATAATAAAATCATTTATAAATACAAAAGTAAAATTTTCTAATATTCATAAATAAAATAGATTTCCAGACTCGGATATAAAAACAAAATACAACCTACATGCCCCTAATCATATGTACCATACTCTGCAAGAAACGCCGGAAGAACTCCCTTACTGATGTCGATAGATGCACTGGTACGATTCTTTTAACCTGAAAAGGTGAGTAACAGAGTGAACTTTGGGAAGCTCAGTAATACAATACTACCAGTTGATGCTACATGACATGCAAATAAATTGAAAGCCATATATTTTCCTTATTGACTCAGACGTATATCTGTTTTCGGGATAATCTGGGGTTCCACTGGTAGTTCATCGAGTAGAAGCCATGAAGATCTCAGTTCATAGGAAACATTCATAGTATCACGTTTCAAGAGGTCGAATAGGATGTCGAGTGTGTTCTAATCAAAACCAGTGAGAAGATATAAATCTTTTAAAACCATAGCAGAACCCTCCAACCAAACTCCATTATACAGTTCCCCATAACTACGTCCGTAGGGCTTACCCTAAGCACACTACAAAGGGAGCCAACTTAAGGGTATGCCTTGGGGCCTATGGGCCTACCCAAGGGCATCCTTAGGTCCGTAAGGATTTACCAGCTGGATTAGGGTTGTACCTCCATACTCCAAAATCCTACCCACATAAAAAATCCAGTAGAAATCAGTTTTAGTCGTAAATCGTAATATCTGGATCATGATATAGTAATATGTCATAATCGTGATAATGAAATAAATCGTATAACGGATCTCCACATGTACACCATAAGTAGTTCCCTGATTAACCCAATAGAGTATCTTGGGGCCTGAAAGCCTACCCAAGGATCACCTTAGGTCCATAAGGATTTACCAGCTTGATCAGAGTTGTACCTCCACTCTACCCATATAACATCCCAATAAAATAGTTCGAGTATAACCAGTGAAAACATAAAACCATAGTTCATTAACCAATAATTTCCATGATTCCATAAATTAGGAACAATTCATATTCTTCGATGAAAACCGTAATCGAAGATCACATACCATGTTGCCATGGTTCATAAACCAGTAAATCAATACGTTCGTTAAAACTGATCTCAAAACATATAAAATCGTCATGTAGTACATGTGGAACACACTAGAGGATCCAAGTATTTTTCAGAGGCACTTGGTAGTTATCAGTATGGATAACATGAAACTTATGCAATTTGATCGAATTCCAGGAACGAGGTCCTATTGAAGGGAATCGATTACTAACCGATCTAATCAGACATTTAAGGTTGATACTTTAGAATCCCACTATGTTTCATGTGCATCATGAAAGTGTTCAGGTATGACCGGAGTAATTTGAGATGATAAGGGAGAAACAAAGATTCAGGACATTCACCATTTATATTGTAACCCCCTCAAACTGATGCGGATATCCTGATTCGATCCGGGGCGTCACATTAGGGCCACATGAGCGACCCACTGTAAAAATCTCGGAAAATTTAAAAACTTTTATTAAAACATGTAACTCATAATTGCTTTATCAACATTAAGAAATAAAACATATTTTCAGACTCGTATATAAAACAAAATACAATTACATGCCTTCTAATCACATGTACCATACTCTGCAATCAATGCCGGAAGAGCTCCTTTACTAAAATCGATAGATGCACC